CGCAATCACAACCAATCATACGTACACGTACGCTCATGCGCAATCATACGAGCATGCTCATCCGTACATGTACGTACATGCGCAATCACAACCAATCATGCGAGCATGCTTATCCGGCGTTCACTTAGAATTGACTAGAGCGTAACCTGGCCGTTCACGTTGTCGTATCCGTGCACGTACGTGCATGCGCAATCACAACCAAACACATACGTACGTAAGCCTCATAGCACGCCCCGCCCCGCCCCGCCCGTACCAGACATTCACCCTACATTCACGCATATTTTGATGTACCGACAGACATGCACATCAGTACGATCCGTATGTTTTCAGCACAAGTCGACGCCCACACCTACTTCACGATGTCACTCAATCCTCACGTGAACACCAGTTCCAATCAAAAAGGAGTCTGCTCAATTCGAAGTCCGTGAAGTATCCAAGAAAAATGGCAGAATACAAAGAACGAAGAACTCGGAAGAAGAATAACATAGAGGAACAGAATAGACTCCACCCTTCATGCATCGTCTACTTCACGATGTCACTCAATCCTCACGTGAACACCAGTTTCAATCAAAAAGGAGTCTGCTCAATTCGAAGTCCGTGAATTATCCAAGAAAAATGGCAGAAGATTACTAAGAATGAAGAAGAACAACATCGAGGAACAGAGTAGAATCCACCCTTCATGCATCGTCTGCTTTACCACCCCAGTCGCATCTCAACAAGCAACGTTGTAGACACCACTGACGTGGAAAACGCAGACTCCTCATGCACGCGGCACAACGCAAAGGTGGGTGAGGACGAAGAGGGGGATGAGAGCGGCGGCTATGGCCACAAGGAGGCAGCAAAGCCGTTTACGCGCTTGAGTGGGGAATGCAGCTACACAGAAAGAAGATCACTGTTGAGACGAGGCGACGAAGTAAATGTCAGTCGATAACCAATGGCCGCTCATCTTGTGAAGGGCCATTTCTGCACGAATTGTCTTCCTATACTACGGCATGCAGGCGTTGTTATCAAGAAGACGTCGTCGAAGACGAATAGTGAAAAACAGTGGCCATAGACTGCTTCTTGCACACGCATCGACAAGATATTTCAATACTTCTCCGCATGTACAGATCTCAGTTGAAAACGCGCAATTTCCCCGACGCGTTTCGGCCAGGCTGCGCAGCTGGCACCCCTCAGGGGGCTTCTCCCCAGATCCGCCTTCCTTGCGGGACCACCACCCAACATTCCGACCAGTCTGAGAATAGAGGGCCGACGGCCTTGCCCGCGAACAAGAAGAAGAAGACGCGAAAGTGAAGGAAGGGAAGGGCAAGGAAGAAGGTGGCGGTGGTGGGTGAAAAAGAGCGAGATGAAGCCAAGAGGATGGCGTAGGCGGGACGGGATGCAAGTCACGGGACCATGGGGACGGATTAGAGGAAAACCGTTGTCAGAACCCAGCTGGACGTAAGAGTACGCGCACCTACAGCAAGGACAGGCAAGTCGTAGCCCACCTGGACAAACCCCTCTCTTGGGGTTTTGCATTCACCAACAACGCACAAGAGAGCACAAGCGAACAACAAGTCGTCCCCGAAAAAGGACGTGCGTTCGTTATGCTTGTATTTGGGCCAACTTTCAGTCTAGATACAGTGATAATGGCCGTACAAGAAAGAAGACGGGTAGTCGGCTTGTCATCGCTGGTGGAGAAAGCGCAAGCAAACACTCACCAAGAACGAAGAAACCTCACACCCTATCAGTTAAGTGTTGCCCGCAACTTCATCAGAGCTGCGTCTGGCATCCGCAAACAGACAGATGAAGGGGAGCGAACCCTCTGCCCCCCCCCCCCTCCTCTCCCCGGGCCGCAAAAAAGAACATCAACGAGCACAGACAGACACACACGCAAACTCCCATCTGAAGAGCTCCTCACTCTCACTGCTGTTGCCTACGTGCAAAGTGTATGTACTCCTGCATGGGCCAACGGATGTGCCTGATAACTGCTAGACGACAAGAGCTCTGCGCCATGCCATGCACCCCCCCTCCTCTCTACCCTCCCCCCTCCCCTCCCCCCCCCTGGCCCGTGGGACACCTTCTCCCTTTTCCTCTTCTTGCCTCTTCGTCTCCTGGCTTGAGAGAATCTCTCTGTGCACTACTGAGTAGGGGGCGAAGAAGGTAGAGAGCATACTACCGCTACTAGGGACAGGATGCAGTCAGTTCTTTTTTTTTTTTCTCGAAAGAAGACGACACACAAGAGGGATGCTAAAGAGTAGCTGCAATGCACGTCGAAGCGCTTGGCTGAGGGGGAAACAA